CACATTACTCAGCAACTCACACTGCAAACCACACAGCACCCAAAACATGCATGCACCACGTAACCTGCACTTTGCCATGTACGCCAGGAACACGCATGCACCTCCTGCACGCACAGTGATGCGTGCGGCGCACTCCATGCACACGAAGTGCTGATGTTTGCCCTGAAACAGCATACACTTTTGCACAGAGCAACCACATATCTGCACCTACCTTAGCACAGGGCAAGCAGTCTGCATTCATGGCATGGCCCACACTTTTGCACAGAGCAACCATATCTGCACCTACCTTAGCACAGGGCAAGCAGTCTGCATTCACGGCATGGCCCACACTTTTGCACAGAGCAACCATATATCTGCACCTACCTTAGCACAGGGCAAGCAGTCTGCATTCATGGCATGGCTCACGCCTGCCTGCAAGTCACACAGCACAACAGTTGAGCGTGCGCCACTTGGCCAGCACTTTCACCCTTAACCGAGGGCTTGCATGCATTGCTTGCCCTCATGGCATGGCTAAAGGTCGCACTGGTGGTATGGCTCACACGGCTGCCTGCACTGATGGTGCTGCTGATGTGCTCCACCACACACTTGCACTGATGGTGGCATGGCTCACATGGCTCCCTGCAAATCGCAATGGCTACCAGCACAGTGGCACTGATGGCATGGCTCACATGGCTACCTGCAAGTCGCAAAGCAGGAAAGCCATGCATGCACCACCTGGCCAGCACTTGCACCCTTTCCTGAGGGCATGCACGCACAGCTTGCATTCATGACATGGCTAACACTTCCTGCACTGATGGAGCTGGTGATGTGCTCCACCACACACACCTGAACTGATGGAATGGCTCACATGGCTGCCTGTAATCCGCGCAGCAGAAAAGCCTCGCATGCACCGCCTGGCCAACACTTGTACCCTTTCCTGAGGGTATGCACGCATCGCATGCACTCATGGCATGGCTGAAGGTTGCACTGATGGTATGGCTCACACAGCTGCCTGCACGGATGGTGCTGCTGATGTGCTCCACCACACACCTGCACTGATGGCATGGCTCATAAGGCTACCTTAAGGCTGCAAGTCGCAGCACAAAAGCCACATGTGCACCCCTTGACCAGCACTTTTACCCTTGCCCAAGGGTATGCATGCATCGCCTGCACTCGTGGCATGGCGGAAGGTTGCAGCACTGATGGTGGGCTCGCGCGTGCCTGCATTGATGGTGCTGGCGATGCGCTCCAGTAATATGCATGCCCCACCTGCACTTGAGACGTGGCTCACGGCTGCGTTCACGGCATGGCTCATAGCTGCCTGCACTGATGGTGCTGGTGATGTGATCCACCACACATCTGCACTGATGGCATGGCTCACATGGCTACCTGCGTGCCCGTTGCAGACCCTTACCACGGCCGCCCCCTCCCAGACGCAAACCAAGGCCCCCGCTTTAAGAGCGACATCGATAGCTCTGTACTCCCAGAAACTGCACTAGGCCTGGGAGGCTTGGGCAGCAGCACGACAGGGCCCGCTGCGTCAGGAGCTAGTGTGGCTGCAGAAGCACTTCAAAAAGGTCCTGTGATGCCTGGGCAATCTCCAGGCACCCCTCTCTACCCACCTGGACACAAGGTGGAGGAGCCCCTGCAGCACCCAAGCCACCCGCACCAACAGGTGCAGCTCCCGCCTCCTCCCCCTCTGCCCACGCCCACCCCTAATGGGCAGCAGCCGCAGCCCAATGGTCCCCCTCCCAACGCAGCCGCAGCAGCAGCGGCCGTGGCCAACCGGCTAGTCGCAGAAGCGCAGCAGAGGGGCCAAGACAGGGGGCCACATATGTTGGGGGCTCACCCAGGCGCAGAGCCTCAAGCCTTGCCACCACCACCTCCGGCCTACTCCCTACCCCCACCTCATCACCCGCGAGCGCCGGAGGGTGGGAGGGATGCCAAAAGCATGGCAGCGGACTTCCTGAGCTCCCTGGATGCCTCCCTGTTTCAGGGTGGTGGGGGGGAAGGGGCTCAGGGGGGGATACCTGACCCTGTGGATCAACAGCAGCCGACCTCGCCTCCCCATGCACACCATCAATTGCATCCATCATCTCAGGTTGCAATGCCTCTTCCCTCCGGTGCTGCACCTCCAGACCAGCTAGCACCTGGAGGGAATTTGTCTGTGAGTAGGAGGGAGGGGGTGGGTGGGGAAGCACCTGCCGAAGGGCTGGGCGCACTGGCTGAGGAGGAGCCCTCAGAACTGGATCGGCCCCTGGATATTTTCAAGGCCATCTTTGAACCGGAGGATGAGGAGGAAGAGGAGGAGGAGCAGCAACAGCGGCAGCAACAGCAGCAGCAAGAGGAGGCACAGAAGCAGGCAGCAGCAGAGGGGCGGCCTGTGGGGGACACGAGCACCCGGGGAGCAACACAAGCACAGCAGCAGCAGCCGCAGCAGGTTGTGGGGCACCCTCAGCAGGTCGGCCTGGCGAATGCCCTGATGCGTGCGCAAGAGCTTGCATCGACAAAAGCAGCTGAGGCGCGGCGCTTGCAACAGCAGCAGCAACAGCAGCAGCAGCAATCAAGGCAACAAGCAGGGGAGGGGAAGCAGGTGCAGCCTCAGCAGCAGCAGCAGCAGCAGCAGCAGCAGCAGCAGGGTGTGAATCCGGAAGTCCAGGCGCGTATCTTGGCAGCGCTGAGTGTGCTCCAGAAGGGCAAAAAGGAGAAGGGCAAAGAAGAGAAGGGCAAAAAAGAAAAGCGCAAAAAGGAGAAGGTGAGATTTGAGTGCAATAGGTCAGGACTGATCTGATGGGCCCTTAAAGCTGCCCTCAGTGAGCCCAAAACCAAGTGCTTCACTCTCATAGCATGATGTGCAGCCAGCCTGCACGCCAGTGGTGATGGAAAAAAAGACACTGCAGTTCATGAGCGCATGCATTCAGGAAGTGTTTCAAAACTTGCAAATTAGCTGGCGGGCCTCCTCTGAGGGCTTTTCAGCCTGTTGTCCTTCGGAGGCATAAGCCATTCTCAGACATTGTTTTAAGAGAGCCACATGCCTGTAATGCCTCATGCACGTCCCAACATGTTTGATAGCAGAGCAGAGCTCGAGCGGAGGGCACCCTTCTCTCTTGGTGTCATCATTTCACACACACACACACACACACACACACACACACACACACACACACACACACACACACACACACACACACACACACACACAGATTTCAAGTTGCTCTGCCAGCAAGATCCGAAGCCAATCCTGTGCAGTAGCCTGCATCATACGGAAGGAAAAAACAATGTAGGCAGAGGAATGCCTCTCCCTTGATCAAATTCTGAGTAAGGAGACCCTTTGGCTCAAGAGAGCTGCAAGCCTCTTCCTGCGTCGCAAAGGCAGAGTCTCTGGGGGCCTTTCCAACCGCAAACCCCCCTCCCTGTCCTAAATTGGGCCCTGCTTGTGACATGGATGCAGTGCCTGACATGCTGTGCCTTGCATGCTGTGCCTACATGATGCAATGCCTTACATGCTGTGCCTACATGATGCAGTGCCTTACATGCTGTGCCTACATGCTGTGTGCCTGACATGCAGTGCCTGACATGCTGTGCCTTACATGCAGTGTCTGACATGCTGTGCCTTGCCTGTCCTGCCTGCAGAAGAAGAAGAGGAGCAGCAAACACAAGAAGGACAAGCCCGCCAAATCCAAAAAGTCAAAGAAAAGCAAAGACAAGAGCAGTGAAAAGAAGAGGCGAAAGAGGCGGAGCGAGGAGGCTAGTGACCTAGAAGCCAGCTCGTCTTCCAGTGGTAGCAGCAGTGATAGTGGCAGTGAGTAGGCATAGCACAGTTTGCTGTTTCTCTGGTATCTTGCATTCATGCGTCGAAGAGTGTCGAGTTGTTCAACTTCTCTAAACTCATTTTTAGAGCCAAAGCTGCACTCTAATAATGGGCAGCCCCGGGAAGTTGCAGGGTTTCATGGTTCAGGAGGGTGAGTTGTGGCCCAGACAGTGTGAGATGCCCTGGGCTCGACTCTCTTGGAACCGGCTGAATGTTGGTGAGGATTTCATTCTTTCCTCAATTAACACTTCCGGCTATCGGCTAGTAGTACAGCTTTCCTTTTTCTTTTGCTTCCCTTTAGATTCATATGTTTTACAAAAAGAAGTATGGAAGGTAGCGAGGAAGATGACGCCCTTGTTCCCTCTGTGTGCGTTCAAGCAATTGATACCATGAATTGTAATGGACGACCAATGCTTGGATTTGAACCCCCAAGTTTCGAGCATTTTCGACACTGTGAGTGCGTGCATATTTAGATCCACGCATGCCTGACATGGGCAGGCAAAAACATGTAAGGAAGGAAGATAGGAAGTGTTACCGATGTACATGTCTACAAGGACATCTGAGCGGCAAAAACAGGGAAAAGAAGGAAAAACGCGTTACAGGAAGCCTATTCCTTCACGTACTGTCAATTCCAGGTGTGAGAAGAGTGGAGGCACGGAGAATCGAACTCCGGACCTTCTCGTTGTGCGCATTCTTGCGAACGAGATGTTCTACCAACTGAACTATACCCCCTTACGCCACTTGTTCAAGTGAAAATTTCAAAATAATATATATTTTTTTAAAGATCTCAACAGCTCCGGTTGCCTTGGGTCAAAGCTGCCCGCTCCATCATGGAGAGAGTAGCAGGCCCTACCACCTCCACTTCCGTCAACTCTGGCCGCAAACTCCACCCCGCCCTCCTCTTCCTCAGTTGTGCTGGGAGCGCCTTCATGTTGGGCCACCCTCTCTGCATTGTGGCAGCAACTGAGCAAGCCATGAAAGCCCTCCAGCTAGGCATTCTGCGTGCATGGTGGATGCAAGCAGAGCAACTCCTAGACGAGCAGCCCACCCTTGCCGCCTCCCATGCAGCTGCCGCAACAGCAACAGCCGCTTCCTCCGCCCAATTCACTAAATGGCTTCTCAAAAGCACCTTTTGGCCATCCACCGCCCCCCACCACCAACTGGAGCAGCAACAGCAGCAGCCGCAGCAGCAGCAGCAACAGCAGCAGCAGCAGTCAAGGCAGGGGACGATCGACAATGTCCCCGCCCTCCCCCTCTTTGGCCCAGCCAAGCATTTCACAGTGCGGATCGAAAAGAAAAAGAAAAGTCTACGCAAGCCAAAGGCCGCATGCATTAAGGGAAGAACTCCTAACAAAAGTTAGAGGCCTCACCAGAAAAGATAAGAAAGATTTACGCCCTTGAGCGTGCATTAAGGGAAGAGCCCTTTAGGGAACTCACCAACCACCCGGATTCCTCCAAGTTTCTTTTGCGTAGCGATTGTACTCACCAAGGCTCGATCACATTACCCCTGGATCATTGTTTCCCGAGTTTTTCCGGGAGAGGCTGAGCTACGCTTGCTCTTGGTGCGGATCTGTTGCAACCATCTCCAAGCCCCCCTTACCTCCCTTCGTACTGCCCGCCTCCATCTCTGCGCCCAAACAGCCCTAACCCTTTCCACCACCCCCCACTCCAACCTCCACCGGACCGCAGCTGCCAATGCCCAAGAGGTGCGCCAGCGCCTCCCCATGGTCTAGCGCCTCCCTTGGCGCAATTCCGAGAAGGAAGTGTGGTGGCACCTCCTCTTCCTCACCTAGCAGCAGCAGCAACATCAGCAGCGGCAGCAGCAGCAGCAGCAGCAGCAGCAGCAGCAACAACAACAACATCGGGAGCAACAGAAGCAGCAGATGCCCCTGCAACAGCAGCAGCAGCAACAGCAGCAGCAGCAGCAGCGGCAGCGCCCACACCCTCCCGCTCAAAAGTGCGGCTGTGGGTGGAACACAGCTGACAGCCCTGACCCTGCCTCTGCTCTCCGCTCCCATTGCTTTTGGTCCTGTCACATAGCAGTGGCAGTCCGCAACCTCCTCCAAAGACACCTTCCCCAAGGCGTCCATCTCCAACCTTCACACCTCTGGCTCGCAGCCCCCCCCTCCCCTACCATTCAGCCTGGCGCCTGGGCAGTGGTCGCCCTTGCCTGCCTCAATGCCATCACCCGTGCTCAGACCCGCCAAAAAAAACTGCGCCGCCTCGCTCACACCGAAGATTGGCAGCGCAGAGTGGATAATACCGACCGCCAGCAACGCCCCCTCTCAGCCTTCCCAGGTTGGGAGCACCTCCAAGCCATCCCGAGAGGCCAGCAGCAGCAGCAGCATCAGCAACAGCAGCAGCAGCAGCAGCAGCAGCAGCAGCATGTTACGTAGTGCTAACCTCTCAGTGTAAAGGTGTGTGATAATGGGATGAGATCAGGAGACCGGGTATGGTTAGCACTACGTAACACAACAGGAGCATAATCAACATCATGAGCAGCAGCAGCAGCAACAGCAGCAGCAGCAGCAACAACAAGATCATCACCAAGAGCAGCAGCAGCAGCAGCCGGAAGAACAGCAAGATCATCATCACGAGCAGCAGCAGCCGGAGCAACAGCAGCAACAGCAGCAGCAGCATCAGCCCCAGGAGCAGCAGCAGCAACAGCAGCAGCAGCTGCAGCACGATCAACATCGTGAGGGGCAGCAGCATCAGCAGCATCAGCAGCAACAGGATCAATATCACGAGCAGCAGCAGCCGGAGCAGCATCAAGATCATCATCACCAGCAGCAGCAGCCGGATCAGCAGCAGCAGCAGCAGCAGCAGCAGCAACATCAGCCCCAGGAGGAGCAGCAGCAGCAACATCAGCCCCAGGAGCAGCAACAACCGCAGCCTGGTCAAGCGAGCATCGCGGAGAGGGCCAGGAGGTTTGCCCTCCTCAACTTTCTTTGCTCCTTGCAGGATTTTGCCTCCACCAAGATTCTGCCGAAGGGCTGGGACAAGATCCAAGCTGACCACCCTTTCCTTGCTGTTCAGCAAGACGCTCATGAAGGCCCCATCGGTGGTGGCAATTGGACCAGTCATGGTGATGATTCTAATCAGGCCCTCAAGTTAACAGTGCGCCTCACCCTTGAAGAAGTGGACCTCTAGCTGAGTGTAGTTTAGTGGTGTCGAGGTGGCCGGGCGGCTTCGGAGTGGTGTGGTCTTGTAGGGGGGAGGGGTTAGGTTCTGGTCTGTGGCTGTGAGTAGCCGCCCGTCAGTAGGGTTTTTCGGACGAGTCAGCCTCTCCTTGCCTCCTTCTGCGTTTGCCTCTCTCAGTTCTGTAGCCGCCTTGCTTCTGTTTCCTTGCTAGTTAGCCTTCGTTCGCCTGCCTGGCTGCTCTCTGCTCGCTTGACTTCAGCTCCGCAGTAACTCAACTCTGTGTGAGTCTCTTTTGTCTCTGTTGTCCTCTCTTGCTTCCAGTGGTGCCTTGCCTTTTTTCTGGGCTTGTGTCCTTCTTAGTCTGAACAGTCCTCCTTCTGCCGCTTGCTTTGGGTGGAGCCTGGGGTGTTGTTTCCTGCTTGAGTTAAGTTTCCTTCCTGCAACTGCTCTCCCGCGTGTCTTTGGCCGTCTTTGGTCTTTGGTCTTTGGACAGCCTGGCCTGGCCTTGTCCTTTTTTCCGTGGGTTCTCAGTAGGGCTGGTCCTTTTCTTGAGTTGTGTTTCAGCGTCTCTTGTTCTCGCTCTTTCTTGCGGCTCTTCCTCTGCTGTCAGGTCCCTGCTGTGGGCCGCTCATGTAGTAGCAAAAAAAAAAATGCTGCCTGCCTCAAGCTCTCCATCTAGGGCAGTGCTAACATTTAGCATAATTGACCAACTGCACACATCTGATTTCATTCGCAACAAGGAAAGGGAGAAGCCCCTCCCATTGACTTTGTATGTGTGCACACAAGCTTCGCCAGCGAGGCTTTACAATAGCAACCGAGGGGCAGAACGGTCGTGCATGTAGGTACCTGCACTGCATCAGCAAGCGCCTGCCTTATCAGCCTGAGCCCTCTCACCCAGACCTCACGTTTTTTTTCCAATTCATATGTTTAGGGTTGGCCAGTTCCGTATGTCAATACCGTATGCCCGTATATTTTGTGCAAAAGATTCCTGACATTTGCCGTATATTATGTATAAATACGTATAAAAAGGGGAAGGGTGAAGGAAATGGTTCAAGAAACACAACCACTCAGTTACACAGAGCCAACAGCAAGATCACAGAGTCATCAAAAATATATTATTCAGCTTCAATAGTCATCAAGAGCAGCTGCTGTGCCAGAGGGGAGTTATGCACCACTCTGCCTAGACCACACCCTCCAGGAAGTGTGAGAGTGGCCATTGGCCAACCCTACATATGTTCATATTCACAAGTTACCCTTACAAGGAAAGGAGGCCTCCAGTCAAAACGACTGACTGCTAGCCTGTTCATAGAAAAAAGAATTTCATGGACGAAGGGAAAAAGCTATTTTTGTCCTTGTTCATAAAGCTAGACATTTCATGCAGTTGAACATGGTGAAACACAGGCAAGTAGGGAGGGCACACCAGTGATGATGGGTGCACTTCTTACCGTACAGAACTGTACTCATTCCGCACCTTCCTAAGATTTTTTTTTATTTGCTCATGTCCGCATCAACCCGCGCCCTTAACAGGAGTTACAGTAGGTTCCCGATTACTTCATACCAGGGTATTATTTTTTTGACTTCGTAGTGCTTCGTACCAGTTCGTACCACCTATAGGCTAACCCTTGAAGTTGAGGCCTTACAATGAGGCCTTCTAATTAGATCCTAATCCATGTCCTCATCTGAGCCTGCTCCGCCCTCAGATCTCTGGCTCTAGAGCTGCCATCCCCCTACTGTTGCCAGGAAGTCCGCGAGCTCGAGGAAGGGGAGGCGGACAGCAGCAAGCTGCTGATCACCACCTTGCTCACTCATCACGTAAAATAGCTAAATTTTTATCTTTTCGCACACATCCACAGTGCCTCAAATAATTATTTTTCAGCCATTTGCAATATGTCCGCAGTGCCCAGAAAAGATAATTTTGCGGAATGATATAAATTCTGTACGGTACCATTCACATCACGAGGCTGACATTCAGAGTATAATCGGTGTCTCCAGCAAGAAAGATGTCGTGCTCTGAGATCCAAGAAAACAAGCTCAAGTTCATATTCACACAACATGGTTATCCTTCTCATCACCATTTATAGCAACCAAGCAAAAGCAAGAGCATCAAAAGCAGGCCATCCTCCCTCTCCTTCTCGTGTCTTGCAGTGCTCACTCTGCAAGGTTCACCAGCACCAGCAGCAACAGCTGCCCCATATCAAACACACCAACTAGTGCGTGCTGCTGAGGGGAACGATCAGTCACTTACATGGTAGGAATGTAAGAGAATGATTGGGATTTTTTATACCAAGCACGTGTACCAATACTATGATAATAGTACCTAAGACATCATAATAGACGGAGTCTAGACTATGCATGTTGTTACACAGAGAGTCAAACTTGGGGGTTCAGAACCACGTGCACTTCTGATTACGTAATCCTGGTATTAGATAATCCATAAGCGATTCTGCGTCTCGTAACCTGCATGCAAAATTGACCAATCTTGAAAGGGTGCATCTACTTGCATCTTCTCAACGGAGTGCGCCTAGACGGTAATCAGGAATCATTTTATCTAGTCACAGGAGCGTTCTCTGGTTCTTAGTTCTATGCCCAAA